TTTTCATATAACATGAAACATGAAATAGGTGTTTCATGTTATATGTTTCATGTCATGTTTCAAATAGGTATTACGTATTTATTTCATACAAGCGTTTTACAAATTACATATTATTAGAAATAATTATTTTATATTTATTTCATTTATTTTACTACAATAATTAATGACATTGTAGATATATAATACTTGTAATGAACTAGTTAAAACCTTTAAAAAATATCCATTTTAATTTATTAAAATTNCTATTTTTCTTGTACGTTTATATTTTTATTGATTATAATATAAAGTAGAAACAATTACCTCAGCTGGCTACATAATGCAAAGTGAATTATGAAGATTAATTGCATCTATTTCGTGTGAAAAATTTAGTTTTATTGTTTTTGATAACCATATTTGTTAATTGTACTCTTTCTTCTAATTACAGTTTATAAATTTAAAGAATAAATTTTGTGTTTATAAATAGCTTACAGGATCTTCCTAAAATATAAGTTATAACGTGGTTTATAAATTATTTTAATAACAGCGCAAAATTAATATTAAATATTTAAATTATCATTTCAAATAATTTAAATGTTTAATATTANTAATGAACTAGTTAAAACCTTTAAAAAATATCCATTTTAATTTATTAAAATTAATTTTTGAAAACGATTTAATATACTGCCTAAGTTCAATAATTTCAGTGTATAAGATATGCAAACGTAATAATTACGTAAAGAAAATTAATATTTGAATAATATTTAATCATTATCATTGTAGCGGTAACATTTATCAGACGAAAAAATGGTCATCTCATAAATGTTTAGGTATTATTATTGCTCCTTAAGAATTCCATAGTTTTTCTCGTATAATTTAACATATTTCACTTACAAAACCAAATCTGTAGGGCAGAGTTCGAGTGGTTAAGGTGTCATCACGCTGCTCTCGGATTATAGAAACGAATTTCACGAAGGAGACTTTATGTACACAGGGCAAAAAGAGTAAAATTATGGTCAAAAAACACCGGAGCTAATCTAGGTTAAAAAAAGTACCTTTAGAAATTTTTTTGGATGTTTGGTGAGGGGCAGAGCCCAATATATCTTGCCTCGTTTCTCACTACCCGGTCGCTCTGTTGTTGGAGTAGTCGAGCCCGCAATGAACATGATGAAAAAGACCGTTCGTGCTCACGGGGTGAAAAGGAAAACAAAATGAATGTTTGCAGGAAAATTAACACGAATTCACGTGTGAAGTACTCTTAAGTGATGCGTGTTTAAGTTGTAAATATCGTTTACAAGGAACGCATGCAGAAAATGAACCACGAACTATTTTCAATTTGATTGTTTTCTGGAACGTTTACAATCGTTCTATAATCGAACCAATAAGCAGAAAAAAATTCGAATTTAAAACGGTTCGAACATTTGGTTAAAAATCGAAATATATAAAAAATATTTATAACAATGTCTGAAATCTTATCAATTTAATACATCTAAGTACTCAACGAAGACTAAACGTAATTAAAAACAAAAAAATCGCATCTAAAATAGTACAATAGAAGCCGTTCTTCAGGTTAGTCTTAATGCTCTCTTTCTCCCCCCGCGGGGAATTTCGAAAAATCCTTTCTTAATGCGCATTTTGATGTCGTACCCTAACTGTGTACCAAATTTCACCTCTCTAGGTCAAGCGGTTTGCTCCGGGCGATGATGAATCAGTGACTCAGTCAGTCAGTCAGGACAAGGAATTTTTCGAAATTCTCCCCGCGGGGGAGAGGGAGAGGATTAAGGCTTATCGTAAAGAACTCAGCTTCTAGTATACTATTCTAGATTAGATTTTTGTTTTTAACTGTACTTTCGTAGTGTACGCCATGAGAACGCACACTAAAAAGGGATTTTTGGAAATTTTAACTCCCTGGAGGAAAGATGAGGAGAGATTTAGTTTTAGTCAGTATAAAGTGTAAATAATAAAAACGGAAAGTCAATAGCGGCATATATAGTATACATTTTAGTTATTTTAATCATTTCCATTTTTCGGGTGACCCAAAAACAATAAATCCAAAATAAACAAATCCGAAAGATTATTTGAATTCGTTACAAATTCGAAAAATTCGAAATATTGAATTGGAAATATGAAGTTCCAAACAAGTTTTTTTTAGATTTTAGGATTTAAAATCAACCATATAATTCAAGTAAAGTTATCATCAAGTAAGTTATTTCTCCATTATAAAAAATTTTCTGAATTTTTTTTATTTTATAGGTTATTTAAATAAATTTTTTTTTTACATACTAAAGATTAATTCTGTTAAAATTCAATAATGATTTTAATCTTTTTTTTTTTGGTTTTTTTTTGCGTTTTTGACTGCGTTTTAGTAGGATACGCCTTAAGAATGCATACAAAGAAATGAGGTTTGGAAATTATCGCCGGGAGAGAGGGAGAGAGTTAAGGATTATTTTAAAAAACTTGGTTTGACTATACTATTTTAAATGCGATTTTTTTTCGTTTTTGCAGAAAATCGAACATATTTTTTTACCATCTAAAAAGAGAATTTCTTGCATCTGGTAAAAACAAGTAAGATCGGCTATAATCTACTAATCTTAATCTTCACTATCGTTACTTTTTGCCCGAGCAACGCCGAGATGATCTGCTAGTTATACATTAAATTAATACGATAATAACAATATATAAAAAGCTTTGTTGATGTATTTTTATAAATATAATCTCGACACTACTTCATTTTTCCGTAAGAAACTATATTTACACAATGTTTTGAAAATTAAAATATAAAAGACAAACATTCTTCTAAAGTGTGTACTTTTTCTATTGGTCACCGAAGTATAATATATAGCTCGATTGTTCAATGGAATTGTTAACGTTTGATTGTTAATTGAATCATTTTATATACAACTAAAACAAAATAAAACATTTTGTATTACGTGCAAGTTTATTGTTTTACCCCCTTTTCAGTTTTTTTTTCTTTCCGGGAATAGTAAAAATTCTCAGTACAGTCTTATCAGTTGATCTAACACTAATGTAGCTTATATAATGTACAATAAGTGCTAAGTTTAGTAAATTGAGTCGTAAATTGTAAGCTTGGTTACGTATTGGTGTATTATTTTATGCTTTTCATTCCTCTTAAGATNTATGTATATTAATATTTTCCAAAAGTGTTCTGTATCAGCTATTTAGTGACCTCATTTGCATGAAAACTAACACATGATTGACGTAACCGTTTTTATTCCGGTCAACGTAAGTTGAAAAAGTGTTCGTTTTGAGTGTCAAGTATTGAGAAAGATAATCGTTCACTAAAATTTGAGAGATTTGGAGAATATTCTTTATTATTTGTACGAGCTTCCACCAATACACGTATTATTGCAAGAGGCGAAAGAAAATGTCAAATGTGAAAGAACAACGATTTAACATTCACGAAGTGACTATTTTCAATGAAAATGGAGAATGTGTCGTCGTATCACGAACATCCTTGATACAAAATGGAGGATTGCTGAAAAACTTTATAAGTGTGTGTCCGAATGAAATGAAGTTGATTCTGACATTACCTCTGACATTGAAAATGCTGAATGAATTTGCAGGGTTTGTACGAATCTATTATATAGACGTTTTTTGTGTTAAGTGTATAAATCTACCACGCAACAATACGAAAAAGCCGTATAAACGAAAAGACTTTTTTTAAAATAATGTAATCATTTAAAATAGTTTGCAGTGGACAAAAAAATTTATTGAATCGAAATAATGCAATTATTTGTGAAATTCATTTATTTCTCCGTGTTTATTTTAATGTTTTCATTAATCAAAGAATGCCGCGATGTTTTTAAGTATAGCATATTTCAATTTAAATTCAAAATTTTACATTACTTCGTTGGAATATATTTTCGTAAAAATAATTTCTATTGATTGGGCATTTTAATTGCTCTGGTCGGATCTGAAATTATATTTTTCGTGTTATTTCCAGACAAAACAATAAGACAATTCTTCCGAAAGGTGATTTACGTGTCTCCGATTATTCTTGATTTGTTTTTTACCCGAAATAAATGTAAAATAATATCATCATTATCATCATTTTTATTTGTACAAACAAAGTACAGATTGGTCCCGCTTTCCTGCATTATCGGTTATACACGTTTAGTTTACAGTACTTAAGAGAAATGTATTACACTTACACAAATGATAAATATTAAATATAAATTTAATATTTATCATTTNTTGAAATATTTGGTAAAGTTACTTTCTGCTAAGATCAAATATTCCACCACTATGCACTGATCGTCTCTGGCCATTCTCTCCACTTTCTCCATAGTTTCTTTAACACCCATAGGCATGACTGAAAAACAAAGTTAATACGTTTCCAAAACTAAGCTGCGAAGTATTAAAAATGAAAAATGTTTCTGTGTGTAGGCCTAGATACCTCCGTCATGGCCAAAAGAGTTTTTGTCACTTATAACTTCCATAATTTGATGAGGTATTCTTCCATTTCTATCCACCCTTCCCGACTCGTACGGTTCGATTCGCAAGTTTGAATTTATAATTCCTTCCTAAAAATATGCATAAAGGTATAATATTCTGTACTATAATGTGTATAATTATTAATAATAGAAATAATTACAATTTTGACAGGTCCTTCTTCATCGATTAACAAAGCCGCNTCTCTCCACTTTCTCCATAGTTTCTTTAACACCCATAGGCATGACTGGAAAACAAAGTTAATACGTTTCCAAAACTAAGCTGCGAAGTATTAAAAGTGAAAAATGTTTCTGTGTATTGGCCTAGATACCTTCGTCATGGCCAAAAGAGTTTTTGTCACTTATAACTTCCAGAATTTGATGAGGTATTCTTCCATCTCTATCTGCCCTTCCCGACTCGTACGGTTCGATTCTCAAGTTTGAATTTACAATTCCTTCCTAAAAATATGCATAAAGGTATTATATTCTGTACTATAATGCGTATAATTATTAATAATAGTAATAATTACAATTTTGACAGGTCCTTCTTCATCGATTAACAAAGCCGCTCCATTAGTACTGTTTCTGTACATTTTTTTTCAAGTCTTGTACTTCGATCTTAAAACATTTAAGTATTTATGTAAACTTACTATTTTCATCAAAATATATAATCCTAATACTGATATACAGTATGTAAATTCAGAAACATTGTGANAATCTTCCCCATCGTGCGGACTTCCAATTCTGAAATTTCTTCTCAAATTTAGAATAGTTCTACATTTGATGTAATGTTTTAAATCACTTACAAATGTGCTGATTCGTGTGCTACTATATTAGCTCTATGATAATTGAGTGGATAGAGACTGACGATGCCAACTTTAAGACATTTCTTGCAAACACCGGTTGTGTGCGCAACGCCTATAAAACAATTCATTCAAAAGTGCGTAGAAAGAATTTTAGGTTAACGTAGAAGCAAGCAAAAAAATATTTACCTAGTACATTAAATTTAACTGTATTATCAGGATTTAGCGAGCCAATTTTACGACTAACAATAAATATTAAAATTAATCCACCTGTCATCTGTATATATCGATAATATAATACTTACTGGACAAATAGCATGATAATATCAGCATCTACAGCCAAACCAGTAGCATGATGACAGTAATAGTGTGCCATATTAAAAAGTAACGCCGAAGCATGAAGATATCGTTCGTAACCCGAAATTACACTATCTTGTATATAAGATGGATCCGTTGTTTTCTGTAATTGAAAACGAAATTAAATAAATAATTCTAATTAATGGATAAATTACTCGTTTTCCTCAATTACCGTGAACTTTGTAATTCCGAGCACAGAAAGTTTTATTCCCAATTCTAACGTATCAATCATGTTTTGTACCTAAATAATAAATAAAAATAAATTGTAATCTAAAGTTAAATGCTATTATATTACATTTAAACGTATGTAACAAATAATATCCTACCTCAATAAACAGGCGAGAAATATAGTTTACTAGACCTTTATTTGTATTGAAATATTTGGTAAAGTTACTTTCTGCTAAGATCAAATATTCCACCACTATGCACTGATCGTCTCTGGCCATTCTCTCCACTTTCTCCATAGTTTCTTTAACACCCATAGGCATGACTGAAAAACAAAGTTAATACGTTTCCAAAACTAAGCTGCGAAGTATTAAAAATGAAAAATGTTTCTGTGTGTTGGCCTAGATACCTTCGTCATGGCCAAAAGAGTTTTTGTCACTTATAACTTCCAGAATTTGATGAGGTATTATTCCATCTCTATCCGCCCTTCCCGACTCGTACGGTACGATTCTCAAGTTTGAATTTACAATTCCTTCCTAAAAGTATGCATAAAGGTATTATATTCTGTACGATAATACGTATAATTATTAATAATAGTAATAATTACAATTTTAACAGGTCCTTCTTCATCGATTAACAAAGCCACTCCATTAGTACTATTTCTGTACATTTTTCTTTTCAAGTCTTGTACTTCGATCTTAAAACATTTAAGTATTTATGTAAACTTATTATTTTCATCAAAATATATAATCCTAATACTAATATACAGTATGTAAATTCATTGTGATTAATTAACGAATGTCATAATAACAACCCGAGTTGTTTTTTTGTAAATAAAGTCTATTACTTTTTTAATATAAAACAATCAGTTGCCTTTCGAACACGTGGTAATTCTTTTCTTTACATAATTTTTTTCTCTGAATATGTACATAACAGATCATTCTCCCATTTATTATATCTCTGACTATAGTGCACAGTTTTTGAATTGCATGTATGTAATTTCGTATAAATTTAATTGAAAGGAAGTATCTAAACAGTTATGTTTCATAGATTTGCCTTTTATGACAAATCCTTCTTTCTGTTTACAATAAAAGTATTATTTAATTAATTTACTCTTATCCTAATAGTTATTCATATTTTGTTTTTAAAATACGAACAAATGCATTGTAATCGAAAAATTTAATTACTGTCACACTATGCAAACTCAGAACTTCTACGCGCTGTCGATAGAATAAACGGAAGAACACTAGCAATTAAAGTTTTTACCAAGTACCAACGCAATATTCGATTATCTACTAGTGTTGCAACGAATAGTATATTCGGCCTGAGGCCGAATATTCGTTTTATGGCCATTATATTCCGAATATTCGAATACCGAATATTCGGCGAGGAGCGTAGCCGAATAGCCGAATATTCGGCTTGATTAACGCACGTACGAAAATTGCCGCTCAAACCGCATTATGGCAAGGATCCTGTTATCTGTTGGCTCGCTATCACTACGCTTCGTCAATCGCGTTAATTCTTGGCAGTTGTTGTGGACAGACAAGAGCGTCATGACAGTATGTGATAAATGATGATATCAAATGTGGATAACAATGAAACGACCTACACGTGTAAATAATGGAGAAAGAACAGAGAAGAACCGCGAAGTGAAAATGTAAAAATGAATATGAAATTGAATTGATAACATGATCGAACAAGTCGAGGCAGCTTATTGGAGCGAAATTCGCGGCCGTCAATGCCAAACAATTGTCGTCATAGACTTCGAAAACCTAAATGCTTGTAATGAAAGTCACTTAGCGTGCACGGGCGAAAGCCCGGGACCGTTCGGGCTACCAAACTGTCTCGAATTTGTGAAATCATAACTGTGACTTATACCGACGTCCTATCTGTCTCTTTTCTCCGTTATCACCAGGCTATAAGTCACGTAATTGTAAAATGGGAAATCTACGACGGAAAAGTGACGAATCGAAAGTATCGTGAGGGCGTATTATGATATATGCATAGGCATACGTGGACTAGAGAGATAGAGGAAAGAGAAAGGGAAGAGCAAAGACGAGCTCTTAAAAAGAAGAATAGACAGGGTCAGACCCTCAGATATGCGACGATTCTCTAACTAATAGGTGGGTACGTGTGCTGATCTTTGTAATTATAAATTGTAAATACGTGTGACTAATATTATGTTCTTTTTTATTTTGTGCATGTAATAATTTATAAATAAACTAGCAGGTGGGCCCGGCGTTGCTCGGGCAAAAGTAACGATAACTAAGATAAAGATTATTATGTTACAGTCAACCTTACCCGTTTTCACAGAATGCAAGAATTGGGTCCCCTTGTTTCCAGACTAATTAGAGAATTTTTAGATGGGTCTAAAAATATGTTCGATTTCCCGCAAAAAC